GGGCCCGACGATTTTATTCACCCCCCACCCTCTTGCAAAGTCCAGGGAAAAACTGGGGGTGGAGGCGCGCGTGTTCTTTCCTGTGGGCCTTCAGCTTCAAGAACGGCTCCTCTGTCCACCAGATTTTCTCCATGTCGCGCAACGCTGTTGCGCGCCAACAATTAGGCAAAGGAGGCAGGTTGCCAACGCGCGAGGGGGGGAGGGGGAGGGGGTCCTCGAAGCCCCAGGAACCATCGAAGTTAGGCCTTCCGAAAAGCCCATGGCCACCACCCTTAGCCCTTCCCCTCAAATCCCCCTCTCCTGGCGGTGACCCGCATCGACCTTCCCTAAAATACTTGAGACGGTCTTCGTGAACGACCCCCAAATCTCGGGACATCTCGGGCTGGGTCGCGGGCGCAGGGAATCCTCGAAACCTTTGAGCATCCAAAAATGGCGACGATGTTTGCGATGATGCTTGATGTTGACGGTCCCTCCTCTTCCTCCTCCTCCTTTTTCTCCTCCTCCTCCTTTTCTCCTCCTCCTCTTCCTCCTCCTTTTCCTCCTCCTTTTCCTCCTCCTCCTTTTCCTCCTCCTCCTCCTCCTCCTTCTCCTTCTCCTTCTCCTCCACCTCCACCTCCTTCTCCTCCTCCTCCTCCACCTCCGCCGCCTCCTCTTCCTCCTCCTCATCATCGTCATCGCCCTCATCCTCCTCCTCCTTCTCCTCCTCCCCCTCCTCCACCTCCGCCTCCTCCTCATCATCTTCCTCCTCCTCCTCCTAGTTCTCCTCCTCCTCCACCTCCTCCTCCTCCTCCTCCTCCTCCTCCCAGTCCTGTGCGCCGATTCGGACTCGATACCTAGCTATTTATCGGGTGGAATGGCCAACCCGCACCGGGCGTCACCAGACCCTGTCCCTCTCCTAGGGAGGGTTCCGCGAGATGCTAGAGAGGTCTTGGAGCTGCAGAGGCCCCAATCACATCCTCTACGGGATTCGCCCACCTACTTTTCGGTTATCCGTTATTTTCTGTTCTCTGGGATTTGTGTTGCATTGGTGTTGCATTGCATGTGTTGTACAACTCGCTAGGTGATTGATTTGGGATGGGCTGTTAGGCTGCGCGAGGCCTCAACATGAATATCCAACTCCCATTTTTCCATGTCGCACATCTGTCGAAGAGGCGCCGCCCGACCTCCCCTAGCCAGGAGCGGCGTAAGTGGCGTGGGCGGCGAGCCTGCCCATGCCGAGGGATCGAACTCAAAAGCTGCTCACGTACTCAAGCATGTTGTCCCACGCCTTCTTGGCCGAGTGCGTCCAGTTGAACTGGCGGTCACTGCGGCTGAGGGGCCCAACCACGCGCCACGACTGCTTCTCGAGGTCCGTATAGACCCTGCACTCCCCCAGGGAGAACGCAGCGGCGCGCACAGTTGGGGTCCCTGGAAACTTGATCTTCCCACCGCCCGTCGTGGACACCTCTGCTGCAGGTTTCTTGACTGAGGAGGCTGCTGGGCGTTTCAACGTCACGGCCTTCTTGGCTTTAGCCGTGGCGGTCCCTGCCTTGGGCGCTGCTTTAGCCTTGGGGGCGCGGTCCACGGGCTTCTTCGTCCTGCGAGGTGTTCAAACGAGGGGCGGATGCAAGGGGGCGTCTGATGCTCGCTCGGCGAGGCATCGCGGACCATAGTGTTTAGGTAAGTCAGTCACCCATCGCATCGCAAAAAATAGCGACTCGAACACTCATCCTTGGACATAGCCCCCAGGCGTTGAGGGTTGTAGGGGGCTAGCGTTTGTGATTGAAAATTTCGCTGGGCTTTGGGTCCTGCTGGCGAGATCCAGGAGCATCTCCTCTGCGGTCTTCGTGGGCACGCCCTTGATCTTCTTGGGCGGCGGTGGCAACGGCGGCTCCCCCGCGGCCGCAGCCTCGCCATCAGACACCTCGACTGCGGCCGCGGCCTCGCCAGCAGACGTCTGGCCTGAGGCAGCGGCATCGCCAGCAGCAGACGGCGCGTCCATCATTGCCAGCGGTGGGGGCGAGGCTGCCGGTCGCGGCGCTGGCGGCAAGGCAAGTGCCGTCGGTTGGTGCTGGTGGCACTGCTGGCACTGCGGCTGGCCCTGGTGGAACTGCTGCTGGAATTGCTGCTCGAAGGCATCAATCTGCAAGGCCTGCGGCGCGTAGCCAAGCGGCGCGCGCCTCTGTGGGGCGGCTGGCCCAACGAGTCGCAGTCCGATACCCATGCCGTCGACACGGCGCGCGCCTCCGCCGCCAGCCCCACCGATGCCGCGCGGGGTGAAGGCAGCGACGGTGGCGTGGGTCTTGCGGCACGGAGAGCGGCTCCTTGGGCACGCGGCAAATAACCAAAATATCACCTGCCCTCCGCATGGGCGTGGGGCCCCCATCGGACCCCCCTTGGGAACCCCACAGGGGGGTCCACGAGGGCCCCCCCCCCCCCTAAAAAAAACTGGCCCCGAACCGCGCGCACTTGATGCGCTTCCTGGGCCTGGCAGAGGGCCCCCCAAGTACATGCGTCATGGCGCACTCTCAGACCACCCTGGGGCCCTTTAGAGCCCCAGGAGGGCTCCAGCCCTCGCGGGGCTCGTTCCAGGATGGGCTGGTGGGGATACGCGCAGCGTCAAGAATTCAATGCCATACGCATTATGATCTCCCGCACTTGCAGTAAAGTTTTGCTTCCGCAGGCTGCTGGGGATATCAAACCCACCTGCAAAAAGTTTTGCTTCCGCAGGCTGCAGTAAAGCTTTGCTTCCGCAGGCTACTCTGGGGTCTCTGGCAAGAGGTCGTGGTTCACGAAAGGGATGCACTTAGGAGGAAGGCCATGTGTTCCTGCTAGTGTACGATCACAGATGAGTATTTATGGGGAGCTTGAAGAACTCTCGACTGACTTCACGACCTCGTTCATGCTTACATTTGCCATGGGCATTAGCCTAGGAAGCTCCACAATGGGCACCGCGTTGCAAGTGCCGCAAACGCGCGACGCGTGTCTGCTCGTGACGAAATTGGCGGCCGCGGACGCATGTGGACACCGCCGCTGGGGCTTTCGGTGGAGCCCCCTAGCCACGCACGAAACGTGTGAGGGCGTGTTAGCTTGCATGGTGGCCGCGGATGCATGTGGACACCGTCGCTTGGGCTTTCGGTGGGGCCCCTTGCCACGGAACGCGTGAGGGGTGTTGCCGCGAAAGCATGTGGACACCGCCACTGGTGCCATCGGCGGGGCCCCCTCAGGGCCACGAAACGTGTGAGGGGCGTGCCGAAATATGGGTGCCGCTGACGCATGTGGACACCTTCGGTGGAACTCCCTCAGGGCCAAGAAACGCGCGATGGGTATGCTGAATTGGGTGCCGCGGGCGCACGGGGACACCGGGCTGGTGGAACTCCCTGGCAGGGTGCACTGGCATTGGCGCCCATGCGACATCGTCAACATCATCATCATCATCATCACATCATCATCATCATCATCATCATCATCATCATCATCATCATCATCATCATCGGGACACCTTCATCATCACCACCATCATCATCAGCATCATCGACATCATCATTCTTATTATCATCACCATCACCATCACCATCACCATCATCAGGGCACAGGAGTGAGGAAGGAGGAGACATCACCATCACTATCACCATTACCATCACCATCACCATCACCATCACCATCACCATCACCATCACCATCACCATCACCATCACCATCACCATCACCATCATCAGTCACATGGCGGAGTGATGCCGAGGGCACAGGAGTGAGGAAGGAGGAAAGGGGGGGCAGGGCACCGCTTCTCAAAAACAAGGACCTAACACCACATGATAACTCGGGAAATCATGTTTCCCTCCATGAGGAGGCTCGCCCCGATATCTTCCTTCCAAACCCCCATCTGCCGACAACCCTTTTCATGCCCCAACCGCGCCCTACCCCAGCCGACCCCCTCATGCCCACCCCTTTCAAGAGATTCGGAGGCTAGCCCCGATATCTCCCCTCAAACCCCATCTGCCGCCAAACCTTTCTATTCCCCAACCGCGTCCTACCCCAACCCTGTCCCCCCTGCCCATCCCCACACCCCGCAGAGGTATAGGAACGCGGATATAAGCGGGAGGAGCGAGGGTGGATGATGTTGGGGGCGGGGGAGGAGGAGGAGGAGGAGGAGGAGGAGGAGGGGGGGAGGGGGGGGGGAGGAGGAGCAGAGAGGGGAGGAGGGGGGAGGGAGTGAGGAGGGAGGAGTAGGAGGACAAGTAGTAGTAGTAGTAGTAGTAAGTAGTAGTAGTAGTAGTAGTAGTGCGTGGTGGTGGTGGTTGGTGTGGTTAAGTAGTAGAGTAGTAGTAGTAGTAAGTAAGGGAGTCCTTCCTCCTCCTCCTCCTCCTCCCCCTCCTCCTCCTCCTCCTCCTCCTACTACTACTACTACTACTACTACAACTACTCCTACTACTACTCCCTAGCAAGGTTGGTGCCCGCCATATTTGTTATTTTTCCCGCCTAGGCTGTATCAAGAGATTCTCGTCCACCTTGCTTGCCGCGGGGGGGTCGGCATCAGTGTAGGCCTTGTTCCAGATCTCGGGGTGCTGAGTCTTCAGGAGATCAGGCGTCAAAGACGTGAAGTCGGAAATAGCTCCGTAGTGATTGAGCCGAATCCTACTCCGCACGCTTCCAACAGCAGTCTTCAGGAGGCACTTCAGGTTGCACGCCGCCAGCGGGTCCGCGTTGATGGTGCCCTGTGGCCCAGGGTTGGCGAGAATCAAGATGCATGCCATGTGAAGGAGAGTGTATTCCTGAATGTAGACGCACCCCAATCGCTCCAGTCGGTTGGCCAGCACCTGTAGTTTGAGATTCACCGAGTTGTCTGGTAGTTGGATCTGGGCCCAGTCCTTCTCCGTCAAGAAGTGCTGGACACTGAAGAACTCGGCAAGCGTCGCGCGAGCCGTATGCCCGCCCAATCCCACTGCTGTGTTGATGGCCCCGATGATCTCGTTGCGATCATCGCTGTTGAATGGACTGTCCTGGAGCGCCTTTCGGCGGCCTCATGCTCTTCCAGCCCTGGGCGCGCGTAAGCAGCCTCCAGACAGGACGCGCGAGCCCCCTGAGAAAAGAAAACAAAAGCACCGAATACAGTTTCGGCTGCGCAACGCCTTGTGCAGATGCTAGCCTACGCGCGCCCTGGGTTGGATGGTGCTTGAAGCCATCGTGCCTGGATGCAGTCGGAGGCGTCGCTTAGGCTCATGCGGTGCTCCCTGGCCAGGGCGTCATAGAGGTTGCGGCGCGCATTGTCGGTGAAAGACTTGATCTGGTCCGGCCCGTAGGCTTGGGAGTCCAGGTTCGCCTTCAGGTAACGAATCACTTTCTGGAACGTGACCTCGACAGAGTCGGGCCCTGGGTTACTCAGAACGGGCATCGCTGCACTTACTGAAAGTCGCCAGGGTCGAGGGTGCGTTGAGCGCTTTCGAGTCGAAAACACTTTGAGCCCAAATGGCTACGTTAGCAATAACACAAGAATGCACAGAAGAATGTCGGGGCGAGCCTCCGACTGAAGGTGCAATCCCAACGTCGAGCACGGCCAAGGAACCGATGGCCACGCCAGACCAATCTGCGCGCACAGAAGGAGGGCGTCGGGGCAGGCGCGGGGTCTCATGGTTTTCAGCGACACCGACCATGCAAAAAACGTCAGGCATGCACTAATCAGACTCAGAAGATTTGCACATCGAATGACGGCGCTTCAAATTGGCTTTGGGCTCTGCCCTGGATGCCGCCTTTCCGCTGGCCTTGGCTTTCGCCTTCGGCTTTGCGGTGGGCCTCTTTTTTGGTAGCGGTGCCAGACAAAGGCGCTCGATCTGAGAGAGAACTGGGGGGTCGGAATGAACCTGCAACGCCGGTGGCGGCCATGTCTCCAGACAGAGGCCAGACTTCTTGAGAGCAGCCAGCATGGGCGCCAAAACTGCGCAAATTAGATGCGGCGCATAAGCGTTCCCAGCAGCCTTCGTCACGAGAGTGGCCGCGCCCAGGAACGCTGCAACTTCTGGAGGGAAACCCTGCATTGCAAGCCTCTCGGTTGGGCGAAGCAATCGGCTGAAAGCGCGTTCTGCGTCTGGAACGCCCCTGGCCACGCAACCCACACTCAGCACGTAAAGGTAAGTGTTATGAGTCAGCAGCGTTGGGCACTCGTTGACTGAAAACGTGATGTTAAAAGGGCCCTGAACAGCTCTGTCGATTGAAATCACAACTATGTCCGACTCATTCAGTTTCCCTTCCTGCACTTTCTCCCTGATCAGGGCCTCGTGGTTCTCCAGGTTTCTCCTCTGGGCTTTGGTGAGTGATTCGCGCGGCGTGACTGGGAACTGCCCGAGTGCATCTCGCAGGCTGCGGGCTCCGAACGGCTGCAATGGGCGGGGAACAACATCGAGAATACTCCTTCGCACACCTCGAATGAAAACTCGTTTGCGGCTTTGAGGAAGCAAGTAGTCTGCAGCATCCAAGGTGTCAGAACGCCAGCAGAAAGCGGGGGCCGTCTTCTCGAGAATGTATAAGAACCTGCGAGCGTTCGAAAACAATATCATTCACGCTAGCATTACTTACCTTCGGGGCAGCGGGTTGGACGAAGACTTCCAGACTGTGCCCCCCGCCCGCATGCAGGGGCATGCCAGCGTTGGCCTTGGGGCCAACGCTGGCATGGCCCCTGCCTGGGCCGGCCCACAATTGCATCCGAACAAACGTTCCTACGGGACCCCCGACACCAGTGCACTGAGAAAGATGAAGGTGGGACTCGTGGGAGGGGAGCGAGGAGTACAGAGGCTGCGTCGGGGATTGCTTGGCCCCCAAAGCCTGGAAAGCGCACTAACCCTGCCGCGGATGCAGTGTTCCAATCCAGATACGTTCTCTAAAACACAACCGATCAGGCCAGCACAATGGATCAAGTACAGCACCCACTGGAGTATTCGCGCAAACACGCGGCCCCTCGAATCTCGGAATGAAGTTTTCTTGCCACTAGACGCCCACGGCGGACAGGGAGGACCTGCCACGAGGAAATCGACTGGTCGTTCCAAGTCGATGTTCGCGACCCTCAGGAGGTTGCCAGCCTATGGGGGGTAAGAAATGCCCCAATGGGGGGTCGGGGTTCACAACCTCGAGGACCCCGAAGGGCCCGACGCACTCGCGACACAGTCTAGATAGCAATTGCTAAAAAATACTCCAACGGATGGACCCCACATGAAAACCTACTTTTGCATGGAAGATGCACACTATCAGAATGATGCTGCTCCTGCTGACGCTGCTGCTGCTCCTCCTCCACCTCCTCATCCTCCACCTCCCCCTCCTCCTCCTTCTCCCTCCCCCTCTCTCCTACCCACTCGTCCTGGTCCTCCTGTCCCCCCTGGTGGTTTGCGCCTTCCTTCTCTTCTCTCGGAACACAACCGACCCTTTTCGTCCCAAAGTGGTCGGTTTCCGTTTTCCGTAGTTCGAGGAGTGCTCATGATTCATTTGCATGCTCTCTGCATTGCTCCTCGACAAACGTCCATTTCAACCATTTCCTCCTGAAGGCACCGCGGTTGAAATCCCCCTCCCCCTTCCTCCCCCTCTTCCTCTCCCCCTCCCCCTCCTCCTCATCCTCCTCCTCCTCCCCCTCCTCGTCGTCCTCCTCCCCATCATCCTCGCGTCTCCTCCTCCTCCTCCTCCTCCTCCTCCTCCTCCTTCTCCTGCTTGGGATTGGTCCCAATTGGTTGGGATTGGGCCCAGTTGGTTGGGATTCGGCCCACATGCGGGGCACCCCCCCCTCCCCGAAGGGGGAGACGGGAGTTGGGGGAGGAAGCTCTCTAGACCACCATCGCCCAGAGGGCTGGTGGGACGTGTCAGCCAGGACCTTCCCGTGGGAATCAGCGTCGGTTTCCCTCCAAAATAACGCGGTTCCCCCGTGTGTCCTTGCGAATCGTTGCAAACCCATGCAACATTGCATTTGTACTTGTGACGCGGCCTCAGGCACGCCGCCGAAACAAGCCTATCAGCAGGGCTCCTCCACGGAAACATCCGAAAACCATTGTGTTTCACCGCGTTTCGAAGGACACACGGGGGGAAACCTTCGGGTTTTTTGTTGCAAACTTCGGCTGGGTTGCGTCTCTTGGGCCCCGCATGCAGCCCAAGGAGATCCATTTGAGGTGTCGATGGGTTCCTCTAGAGAAGGCAGCGCCTCTGCGCCCAAGTTCAGTTGGGTGACGCAGTCGGCGCCGCCGAGTAAGTGTCGAAGCCACCCCTCATATCCCGCCTCGAGGTCCCATACGTTGACATAACGAGCGTCCACGCGCATAGCTTGACACGCCACGCCGCAGCCGTGAATGCCAACGCATGGTGATGCTATGCGAAGTGGTCGTCCGAATGATGGAATCGCGGCCAGCACACCTCGTAGGTCTGCGGGCTGCGGGGTCTTCGAGGCGTCGAGAGCTGCCTGCGCATCCCAAGGCGCGCCCTCCGAGAGGTGCCCAAAGCTCAAAATGAGCGCGACCGATGTTAATCGCATCGTGCGGCCTGGAGCGGGGGGGGCAGACAGCAGGGCCTCGTTCGGGCCTAGATGCGACCGCCCCTCCTGACCTCATCCCTCCCAGCGCCTCTAGGGCGCAGATACGGTGCAGATACGGTGCAGATACGGTGCAGACACGGTGTATATACGGATGTGGGGTGCAGATACGGTGCAGATACGGTGCAGATACGGTGCAGATACGGTGTATATACGGGCGGGGGGTCTGCAGATACGGTGCAGATACGGTGCAGATACGGTGCAGATACGGTGCAGATACGGTGCAGATACGGTGCAGATGCGTGCACAGAACATGACAGCGCGCCACCCCACAGACGTCTCGAAAAGCTCACCGAACATACAAAAATCATCAACATATGATCGACGCAGGTAGTGCATGTTGCTTGAGAGCGCAGCTCGTGTATTCAATGCTACGCTATGCGATGTCATGCCAGGCTGGGAGGTTCGGGATTCGGGATGTTGGTACGCTGATATGTTATGATATGCCATGATATGCTATACTACTGGATGGCATGATGCGTGATGTCATGTCATGCTATGCTACACATCGCAACTCAAGAGGCTTACGCAATTCTGCCGACCCCAGAGGAGGCAGGTATGTGCTCACGAGCAAAGCCTGCCTGGTCAAGAAGATTACGCGTCGCGTTGCCTAGGCAACTCGCAAGTGCTAGCGAACGAAGCTGCATGCTAGCGTGAGTCCTCAAACTGGGACCTCGCGAAACCATCAGATCACCAGGCCCACCCTGGATCACAAAAATTGGGCACCCGAACGGATGCCATCTTATGCTGTGCTGTACTCAATCACTCCGCGGCGGCGTCGTCGATGAGGCCCTGCACGTGCTTGAGGAGGCTGCCAATCTTCTCGATCAGGAGGTCACTCTCGTGGAGCAGCTTCAGCACGTTGTACTTCGTGCTCTTGTTCTCCGTCACCAGGTTGGTGATGGCGGTCTCCGCCGCGGTGATCTGGCCCTCAAAGTTGACGAGCTTCGTGGGGTAGTGCGCTGGGACGTTGGCAGTCATGTCAGGGGCGGTGGCCTTTGCGACCATCGCCTGAATGTCGACCTTGGTCTTGTTGAGCGAAGTCTTCATGTCGCTGAGCTTCTTCTTCAGCCCCTTGGTGAGTGCCTTTGCCTTCTCCTGCTCTCCCTCTGCAGGATCGCCATCCTCCTCGTCTGGGTTCTGCGTCTTGAGCTTCTTCAGTTTCATCTTGCCAATCGCCTCGGCTTTGCGCTTGTAAGCTTCCTCCCACGCATGTTCATCTTCGTGCGTGCTGTCGTACTTGGGGATCTGAATGAGCTCGTCACCGGTCACGTCGCATACCATTCTCTCCGCTCGGGAGAGGATCCGCTGCCACTTCTCTGGGTCGTCCTTGTATTTCTTCTCCTCGTCAACCAGCAAGGTGAACTGCCCTCCCATCTTCCTCTTATGCGACACGCGCCTGCTGACCGATTTCTGCACTGCCTCATTCATGTGTTTCTGAAGCTCTGGCCCGAACATGTTCGCACACGTCCTCATGAAGGTGGTCCTCTCGCAAGGCGTGAGCATGTCGAAACCCTCCACGTTCTCAGACTCGCGCAGGCGCTTGATCCTGCTCGTCAAGGCGTTGCAGGGCTTGCAGCGGAACTGCCTCGCGTTGACGCGGTAGGCATTCTCGTAGAGGACGTCGGCGCAGCACGTGCTGCAGTGGACCACGGTCGTCGGCGTCAGCACAGGCTGGTGTTGGCCCCCGCTCGGTTCTTCAGCTGGACTGCCTGCGCTGGCCGCTGCGCCTGGACTGGCCGCGGGCGAGGCTGCAGCGTCGCCCAGCGAATCGACCACGGAGTCCTGGGTGATTTGGGGGGCCCTGATGGGCCCAAGACAGCCCCGCGAGAGAGCGAAAGCATCAGGCCCACTAAGAACCCCTCGGAGCGTCCCTCAGAAGGCTTCAGAAGAACCCCTCGGATGGCCTCGGATGGCCACGGATGGGCTGCGTGTGAGTTTTCCCATGGAAGTCCTGGTCCTTGCCAGCAGAGGCGCCGTCTTCGGAAGGCCCCTTGGACTTGCGCCTCCTGGGGTTAGCCCCCGGCGCAGGCGCCGACCCCGACATTGCGCGAAAGTGAGTATAGCGTTTTGGTCTCAGGGCGTGACCTTGAGATCTCGGGGCGAGCCTCCGAGTCTCTCAGAGCCAAAATCTCAAAAGTGTGGATCATGGGAACTGTCAAGGCTGCAGATTTGCATGGATATCTCGGCGAGTTGGCTTTGAAAAACTTCTCGCTTGGTAGGCGCAGTCGGCCCTGACACCGCTGCCATTCCCCTAGGCCCTGCAGAGGGGCGCTGTAGAAACGCGGTGGAGCAATGGGAACGATAGCGGCACAGAAAACAGATTGCGCCCGCCGCACCAGAAGTCGTTCATTGCGCTGACGATGGGAAACCACCAAGACAATGGGTTAAGAATGATGTCTTTTCCTGTGAAATCTGAGTCCCACGCAACTGGTATCCCATGCGACGCCGTGCACAGATAAAAGAATTCTGAGCTTGCGGGAGGGCGCACCCCTCGCAGTAAAAGTCTCTACTGGTACTCAAAGTAGTGCTTCCATGTGTCCTGCGGAAGAGACTCTGAATCTGGATTCGCACTGATGGTCTCTGCAGGCGTCTCCTTCTCGCTCCCCTTGAAGTCGTCAGACGTAGCCGCAGACTGGTCATCTCGTGGCCCATGCAGCTCATCTGACAGGCATATGCCTTGTGTACCGTCATTGTACATGAAAGAAACGAAGATGGCAGGCGACGCGTAGAAATCGATCTTCGCGGGGACACCGTCGATCAGGTTGGGCTGATTGGCCATCGAGGTGTCAGAGCACACCTTCGCGGGCACGGGCTGCGGCTGCGCTATCACGTCGACGTCGAGCCGTGCCTTCGGCATCGGGCGAGCTTTAGCTGGCGCGGCCACGGGTTGCGGCTGCGCTGTCACGTCGACGTCGAGCCGTGCCTTCTTTGAGAGGGAGGTGTACGTCTTGTGCCACTTCTTCAGCTCCGATTCTGCCTCACGCAGCCTCCGTAATCGATCGCGATCGTTCTGCTCCGCCTGCTCCAGCGCCGTCTTCCGACATCCATCGCCGTTGGCCCACAGACAACTCAGCGCCATATCATATGCCGCCTCCAGACCGCTTGGGGGACCGTGGAGGGTGAGAGCTCTGCCTGGTCCGCGATCGCGGACTGACGCCTTCACGCCGGTGGCAGCTGCGATGGCGTCCTGGTCGCTCTTCTGCAGAGTGCCAGTCACAGGGAAGGGGCCCATGTAGGCGTCGACCATTGTGATGAAACCATGGAAGGGCCTGTGGAAACGGGCCCCGATACCTGCCAAAATGCTTGAGCCTAAATAGTAACGGACTGTCAGGTTCACGGGATACGCATCGAACCCCACAGGGGTTGTCGGAATTGATTTGGCATTGCAGGACTGTTTCCACTGACCTCGACTCTTCCTCGTTCTCTGCTGATGCGCGTGCCTCGAGTGCGCTGCTTGCCCCTCCTCCTCCTCCACCACCACCGTCACTGAACATAGAGGTTCAGACTGAGTTTCGCACTTAACGCCACGGCCCCCTCCGCTGCCTGCTGCCCTCTCTCCCTCCTTTCCTCTCTCCCGCGGCTTCTGCTGCTGCCTGCGCTCCTCCTTCTCCTGGCCTTGTGCGTGTGTGTGTGTGTGGGTGTGTGTCTGCGTGTGCTGGCGGTGTCCTGTTCCTCCCCGCCCGTCGTTCCCCGCCGTTCCCTTGTCGTGTCGTTGCTGGGCCGTGGCCTAGGATTGAATTGGGGGAGACTTTCGACTCTCTTCTAATTGCGAGCCTGCCGCTAAGAGGATGGTGCCCATGTAGGCCGTCACGGGTCGTTCCCCTTTGGACGGTCCTGCTCTGGGCCAGAGGCTTCCCCCCAGCGAGGCTGCAGGCTATAGCCCCGTGCTATCCGCAGATCCTTTATACATATCTCGTGCTCGTTTGCTAAGCGTCGCACGACAGTGGTACTCATCAGGGTCGTAAGCGTTCCAGTCCAGTCCAGTCCTCCTCCTCTTCCTTCCCCTCCTACTGTGATTGGCCACCTTAGCCTCCTCCACCTCCTCTCCCCTCCGCCCCTGCAAAGCCTAATTGGGGATCTTTCATACTCGAGGCGGTATCTTTTCAGAGCCTGCAAGCCACAGAGCTGAGGTGCACAGTACAGCAGAACGCAACTTCAACATGTCAAGCATTGTCAAGGGGGCAGATTGCAGACAGTATCAAAATTTGGAAGCAACGGATAGAAGCAAGAGTCAGTCTTCAACATATATGGCATTGATCCGACAATGCTGCTCAATGGTAGGCACGCTTCTCGAGAAGTAAAGTGCCAGTCGCCTTCGCGACCGGCCTGAGCATATTGCAACATGCACGCGAAATGAGACAGGCCACTTAACAATTCTGTGCCACGAAGGAACATCTTTACGAATCCCACGAAACGGTGACCCTGCGTCGATCCAAAGACACAGTCGCCCTCTTTGATTGTTCCAATCGAACTCTTGACACCTTTCGCATAGTGAACAGATGGGCTTAACTGAGCAAACAGCACAGACAACAAAGCAAAATGGGATGGGGACGCGGACACTTGCGGATTGATCAGAACATCCGCCTCATATTCATCTTTGTTCTGAGCGTCGTGCAAATATTTGAGACATGTTTTTCTAACTAGATGGGGCTGACCTGCGTCTCCTGGCCTACTGTTGTGCGCTATCTTCTTCAAAATTCGATGTTTCCGTTCTGGGTTGAAGCACGTCACATTCGCACCAGCGATGGTCATGCTATCAAGACAGTGGTAAAGGCTGTGCGTCTTGCTCTTCGCGAACTCCTCCCCGTACAGCCTAGTGAACAGGATGTGGTGTTCCCTGACCACCTGCCTCAGAAGTCCCATGAAACGAAATGTCTCGTCGCCGCGTCCTTCGGGGCGAACAACGTTGTTTTGCTGGCCCTCTTGGGCCTATAGGTGGT